AAGAGAGAGAAGAGAGACAGAAAGACGAGAAACAGAGAGGAGAGAGACTGCTCAATTCACTTCGTTTTGTGGGGTCTATTTTCTTAGCTCGTCTTAGCTCGTCAGGGGTCTACACGCTGCTTTATCCGATCTTGACACTGCATCGGACTGGTGTCTGGTGCCAGCCTGGAACAACGATGGCATGGACCGAAGACCTTGCTCAATCGGCGGAGGCGAACTCCACTTCGATGTTCGTTCCGAACAGCTCGGATGTGCCAGGACCCTTCCAGGTGAACTTGAGATCCCGGCGGGTTGGTCACGGATCTTCGGCCCTTCTTTTCAAGGTCGGCTGAGGTCGGGAAGGTCCTGGCAGTCACCTTATCCAGTTGTACCTTCTCAGGTGATCTGGAGGGTATGGTCGACCTCCACCGATCGGCAACAGCCCTCTTTTTTCGTCGGTTCAAGCCGAGAAATCCCCGACACGACCTGGACCTGGGACTGCCAGGACGGACTGCCGCCCCAGCCAGACTCCCCTGGCAGTCCGTCTGGCAGTCCCATGGGGAGTGGGAATGGTGGACCTGGAACTCCGAGCCTCCGAGCTGGGAGGCCATCGAAGGCGCAATCTGAGGATTGCTGAAGATATCCCATACAGACCAAGGACTAAGCCTGGAACCTGTAGATGATATGATATGTTTCGATTGATTTCGACCATCTATAGCTATGGGGGTTCATCAACACCGCAGGCTCTGCGAGCACTGCCCTTCTTCGAGCTTCCAGGAATTCGAGTCTGCACGCGACGCGACGCAGGCGGTCCTGGAGTAGCGCCTTGACTTCATCCTGAACATCCGAGGACCATCCGGGGGGAGTTCAAGACCGTGATGCCCCTCTGTGTGTCAAGCATCCCTGGTGAAAAATTTGTTTGGGCCAGACTTATGTCATCCTAACCCCTTGAGGCATGCATTGGCCCAGTGATCACTATTCAAAGGAAAGATCTAGCGCGACCCAACCCCTGCTGCACCCATAGGATTGGAATACTTATATACCTGGACCCTCATTCAGGCTCAAGTTTCTGCCTGTTCAAGAAAATCAGCCTGAACCAGGGTTTGTTCTTAAAAACTGCCTGCGGGCAGAAATCGTTATTCGGGCAGATGTTGCAAATTACTTGCAAAGTTGCAAATCTGCAGCAGTTTTTGAGCAGCTTTTGACATGTCAATTCGGGCGAGAATCGGCGTGATTCGGGCGTGAATTTTCGTGATCGGGCGAGAATTCGTGATCGGGTGGATTTTGTAGACTCGAGTTGCATTGCATGTATTCATCACTCGCATAATATATAATCGATAAATATCGATAATTTGCAAAAACACATTCGGGCGAGAATTCCAGGGTCGGGCGAGAAGTACTGCCTGAATGGATTCGGGCTACGCTTCCAGCCTAGTTCGCCCAATCCCCTTGTCTGCAAAGCTCCTTCCAATCCACATGAAATCATCAGATGAATACACACCATCTCCAAAGCTGACTCCCAAGACATTTTTCTGAAAAAAGGTTAGCCATGGTTATATAAACCTGTTTCATATTTAGTAGGGAGATCACTCCCCCCCCAAAAAAATGCCTATTTTGGTGATTCTGATCTACTGACTGGCTTAGGCAAGCCATGGCAGCTCGTCTTTGGCCGAACGGTCGGTGCCCGGCCGAGCTTCGTTTCGCCCCTGTTGAGGCCGACCCCCTGGGAGCCTATCGGATTCCTCGCCTGCGGATAGCCCAGGCTGCGCATCACGGCGGTGCCAAAGCCTCGGCATCCGTCCGCGGTGCTCGGTGGTCCGTCTCAGGTCGGTGGGAGCGAACCTCAGTGGACACTTCAAGAGAATTTAGCATGGTCTACCTCTTCAGGGTGGCAGTTCTGAACTGATGGCTAAGTCAGGGGTCTCAGGCCACAAACCACACATGATGCTTGCCGACCTCCACCGATCTCACCTATACGCTTTTCGGCCGCTCGCCCGAGCGCTCCGCGCGAGCTGGCGTCCCTTTTCACGCCGCGGACGTCTCAGGTGCTCTCAGTTCCTTGGCATCGGCGCAACGAAGCGGTTCCGGCGAACGACCAGTCGAAGCGCCGCCGGGAACAATGGGGGAACTGTGGCGGGAGGTCCCACTGTTGGACCTCTAAAGCCAACAATAGGTGCTTGGGAAGGAGAGAGAATGAGAAGAAAGGAGCTGCGATCGTGAGGAACCATACGACCAATGTGAGGCACAAACTGAGATTGAACATGTTTGCGGAACATTTGTGACCGGGACGTGCTGGTGCGGTTGCGTTGAGTGCATGAGAAGTCCCAGTTCAAATCAGCACAGGGTACGCCCTGGAAGATCAACATGGAACCTGAAAACCCCAGGCTGTGAAGGAAACTGTCTTCCAAGGGTCCATGCCATGAGGTTCCATGTGGGCCACTTCCCTAGGGCGGTGTAGTCCAAAGAAGAGTTCGTGTTCGGCGGGCCACACCGCCGGGGACACCTCGCAAGCGACAGCGACGTGGAACCAAGCTGCGACGAGCGCCGAGGAGCAGCGCTGCTTTACAAGTTATGCTGCTTCAAAAAGAGTCTTGTTGTTTGTACAGGTGTTAAAAACATTGCTGCCCACTTCAGTGAATGAATCGAACATTGAACCCATACATCCACAACAAAACCCGGACCGTCATCCATCACCAAGCTACAAATTTCGCTACGCCCAGCACAGTTCCTTGGGAAAGACGCGGTTGTAGCGGTAGTTGAGCTTGGTGGAATCCAAGCGCTTCGTGAGCCTCCTGAGGCACGATCGGCTGTCCCCTCCGGCTGGAGGGGAGAAAGACCCCTTAGGTTTGGAGGGGAGAAGCCCTTAAACCAAGGTTGAACTCAACTCCTTTTTCTGCTTTTGGAGGTCCTGAACGGTGCTCCTGGAACTCCAAACCTGATCCTCCGCACCGTCCGCGGAAGCCCGGAGCGGAGCCGCTTCCAGCCCGGCGCGGGGGGGGGGGTTAGGGAGATGGAGGTTGGAACGGGGTGAGAAGGGAGCCAAGTGAGTCCAGCATGTTGAAAAAAGTGCGCTCTTTGGTTGGCTGGAACTGAACCAACCAACCGCTCCAGAAGGGAGTCAAGTGTCTGAGTAGAACGAGTCATGGTTGGTTCATTTTGGTTCTGCACTGTCCGCCCTACAACTGCACATGGGGTCTTCTGCACTCCAGCACTGCAAGAACGAGATCTGATCATTTCAGGAGGACTTGCGGTGGTGGTCAATATATACATTCTGCCCCTGGACCGGAACTTGGTTACGTGGATGGCACCCCCTGTTTGGTATTCGGAATCTGCTCTTCCAAGAGGACATGTTTCAAACTTCCTTGTTAGCTCCAAAAAGTGTAATGCAAAGGTGCTCTCGACTGGTGGCTGGCAATTCTTTGTGTGGCCCTTGGTACAAAATGATTGGCGAACAACAGCCCCGACCTGATGACAAAAGGTGTAGCGGCTGTTATAAATCTGAAAAACAAAATAGGCCGATCCAGTCCAAGTGGTGATTTCTGCTCACCCCAGCTTCTGAAACATGGATGGTTAGGGTACTGGTTAGGGTATATCCCATCACCAGTAGCAGTGGATGATGTTGCTTAGTATAAGCCGTCCTGAATAATCTGAATAGTGGTAAGTGTTCACCAACTGTTACAGTTGGTAATAGGAGAGACCCAATGGATGGTTTTCTTAAGCCTTTTTAGCCTAGCAGGGCCCAGCACCAAGTAGTAATAGGTACTCGGTCAGTTGTCGCGATCAATGCAACCAACAGCTATGTTTGGGGTGTACATGACCAGCAAGCAAACCAATCCTGGGTCTCCCGCTAGTAACTCCACTTATTAATACCCCTCTGCAAAGGACCACATGGAACTCTAAAAACCACGTCGGGTTGGTCTTCGGAACATGGTCAAAACTCGCACGGGCCAATTCTCGGTGTCCATGGGATTGTCAGAACCAGCTGTGGAACTCCAGATGACTCAGACTTCCTGCACCCACTGGGCCACTCTTAAGTACATGAAGCGAACAAAACCAAAAAAACCAGAACCGTTGCTGGTGAACTTGATCTCGCTGCCCCCCAAAAAAAGACGAAAACGCGGTCTTCGCGGTGCTTTGACCCGGTCCACGCTGGACCTCCAGTCTCTCCAAGGTGCCCTCGGCCCAAGGACCTGGTACAGCTCCGGGCGAGGACCTAGCGAGGTGAGATCCCAGATGGTCCCAGAAGTCCACTGCACAGCGGATCTGGGGGCGAAATGGGGCGCTGAAATCGGGATCCGGTGGATGAGAAGCCACGTCGAGCCACGTGGCGGGCTGGGTGTTTTTGGGCTGATTTCAGGGGATGAAAGAAAAGGAGGGTGAGCTATAGGTCACTTGCGATTGGGGTTGGGTTGGAGATTTGTTGGGAGATTGGTTTTTTGGGTCACCATGTTCTATAGAACCAAGTCCTCTAAAACCAGGCATAATTAATTCTCTTGAGAGATCTAGGGTGACCTATCACTGTCACCTATAATTACTGTACAGTCCATAACTCTTGATAAGTCTTAACATATGTCCCAAAATCTAAAGCAAATGGAAGCCCATACTCTAACATGCATTGCCTTTCCATCTCCATTTGGCAAAAAAATCGCTACATGGCGCTCAACTGGCTTCTCTCCCCCTCACTTCGCCACTTGGCATCCCTGGATTCCCCGCGCCCCGAAGCTCCGCACCTTGCGCACCCAGCCCTGCAAACTCAGAACGCCGCGTGGAGAACCGTCCTGGGCAGCGGCGCGAGAAGCAGCGGCCGGACGGTCGGATCCGTTCCAGGCAGTGGAGGTCGGAGGGGGTCTCTGAAGAGGAGGAGCCCGGCTCAGCCGACTTCCCGGGCATGACAAGGTTTTCTCAGGCCGCGGGATGTGAGAGGATCCCATGCACAGAAGTGACCCGTCTGAGTGGTTTTCAACCATGTTCCGAAGAACCGCCCCGACGGCCCCCGACGTGGCTTGAAAATGGGGTTCCATCCGGGATGCGTCCGGTGGCCCCCACGAGGCTGCCGACGCCAGGCTTAGGCTGGCCATTCCGTAGCTCTACCTTTGCTGTTGGCTCCCGTCTTCATCCAGAAGCTAGGGCCAGCGAACCGTATTCCCCCCTCATTTGCATCAATTAAAATCTTTCACCTATTAGCTTGACCAAAGAAAGAACCGGAATAAAAAACAACACCATACAAATCCTCAAGATCGCAGCCTTTACTAAACACAAGCATTGTTTTACGATGTTCTTCACCACCAAACCATATGTGTCTTTCTCTTTAAAGCTCATCCAGCGGCCAGAATCGGATTCCCTGTGACCATCACACCGACCGATGACGTTCCTCCAAGCGTCGACTGCACCTTTGATCCCTGCCTTGTTCCAAATCCTCTGAGAATTGAATTCGTGGTTGTCACCTGCCGGGCACTTTGCGAGGTCAACTGGCAATCCTCAAGTAGTCCATGCATGTTCAGTCCTGAGTCCTGCATACACTCTCAGGAATCCTCATGCAAGTGGATCGCCTAGGCCTCTGGAAGACCATGTTTCTGACAGGTGGTGCCATCCGCTTCCATGATGATTCCGGGGAGTTTTTAGCAACTTTGCTAAAATGGGCCAACAGCATGAACACCCAGTGGAATTGCCTCTTCTCCAAGGATGGTTCTATTCTATACATTTATCTGCGCACAGTGTGGAACGTTCAATGCATCGCAAAGAGAATTGCAATAGCTTCCGCCCCAGCAACCAACAGGAAAACCATCGGAATGCCAGAACAACACAGAACAACAGGAACCTGCGGGTGCTGTCCTGGCAGGGGGTGTTCAAGTCGGACAGGTGGTACACTCCCTCGAACCATCATGGAACTGGAGTTCACCACCTGTTTTGTAGCGGAAATATCATGGTCCAAGTGGCCATGTTCCGCTTCCATGATTAACAATTTCTGGGAGTGTAAGTCTCTAATGCATCTCTTCTTCAATCAGCTGAGGTGGAGGGCGAACTGCCAGACATTCCAGCCCGAAACAACCCTCCGGACCGAACTTACACACCGAACAGACGTCACACAAAAGAAACACACACGTTTACGCACGGCTTCGGCCAGGTGTGATGTCCGGTTAGAAACGGTGAAGCGAATGCAGCAGAGCTGCCATCCACCAGAAATAGCAGAAAGTTCTTGTGCTTGTTGTACTCCTGCTGGACGGGAGCACATGTCCACGTTGCTACCGCATGTCGGGGGGGGTTCTGGGCTTTGCTCAGCACACCTCACAGCAAAGGTCCTGTACATGGAAAGGGTTCCCACCAACCCTTTCCAACCCAAAGCGCCCAACCGTGGACCTCCCGCGCACACTATGTCGGGAATCGGCCAATAGTCAGCCTACTCCCCAGTGGGTCATTGACTTATCACACCCCAACCCTCCTACTGATAATCCCGCACCTGTTTCTCGAAGATCTATTCGTGGGAAAACCACGCCAGCATCATCTAGTACCCATAACCCCAATGCAAATTTATCACAAGATGTTCGTGATCCATCCGCAGCCTCGTCTGCAGGAATCCACACACCTCCGAGAGCTGGCATTGGCTAGCCGGCTCTTCCCATGCAGTGGCGGTGCCGCATGCATCGTTGCTGCCACAAGCCCCTACTACTTTTGGTACTCTTCTGCGTCCACGTTGGCGCCCCTTAAACCTCGATGCTGATCCAACAGAAGCAACACGGCTCTGTGGTCAAGACCAGCCGACCTCACCGTGACTTGAGGCATTTTTGAACTGGGAACGAGGAATACAGAAGAAGAACCCACACGGCATCTCTCCCAGCACCGCGGATTTCGGGTGTCCATTCATAGCCGAGGTCATTCGGCTCCACGGCATGCATCTTAGAACAAACACGGCTACCCCAAGATCGACGTCAGGAGACTCTCCCGGCGTTCTCCCCTTTCGGGAAGAAACCAGGTCTCCCTTTGTTTTGCTGGACCAGGTTGTCTTGCCCCACATTTTTCCAGCGGGTCTGTCGTGGGAGGTCTCCCTAATTTTAACACGCAAACACCTATAAACGATCCTAGCTAAACACCAGGCAGCGCCCACCATCGGAGTGACTCCTAAGACTCCCAGAGCCTACATTCCACCAAGCTCCGCCAGCTCCGCAAGCTGCGCCGGCAGGGCCTTAAAAATCCGGTTGCTGAGCTTGTAAAACCTCGGCTTGCCCGTGCAAGGGCCCCGTGCAACGGCCGACCAAACACTGCGAAGGCGTCCAACTCCATGGTTAGAACGAATCATTCTCCGTCTGGTTGGTGTGGGAACGGCCTATTCTTAGGGACCACAGCACGGTCCATCTGTTTCGCATGGATTCGGCAAAACCAAGCAGCGGGATGGAGGACAGCAAGACATCTCATTGTGCTGTGCTGGTTAAGTGGTCGAGCGGTAAAAGCACTTGACAAATCATGAGTCAGTGGGTTCGCTCATCCCCAATAAAGGTTGAACACAAACATCTCCGAAACCACCTGGACGTTGGCGTTGGAGCACCCCCCCACCCCAAGAATCACGCCCCAGAACTGGGGAGACCTTTGCTTTTCTGGGCCCAATCATCAAGTCGCCAAGTTCTTAAAGGTTGGAAAGTGACCGCAGGGTTCAGATCCTTTCAGTGGAAAAGTCCTACTCCCATGTTTGGGAACCCAGGGCACCTAGCCAGTGCCACCCCAGGGCCGACTGGGTGCCAGCTCTGCTCCACTGAGCGGTTTTTTTTTCACCACCGGCGCTTCGCTTTCGGTCCGATGCCAAGGCACAAGGGCCCAGACAACTTGGAAAAGCTCCTCTGGATCGTGAAGGCCACCAGTTCGTAGAACAAACGCTGAAAGGAGTCCTGAGCATCTGTCCGTCCGAAGCGCTGCTGGATGAATCAAATCTCTGGGTGGTTGACAAACACCGCGTATACCACCAATTCCAATTCACACCCCTACCAGGGTCTTGGCAGATGAATGGAGATGGAGATATGATGATATGATAGCCCTTTTGGTAGAGGGCATTTCACCAATCCAGTCTCTCCCTCTCTTTCTCCAGACTGTTGCTCGTGTCACAGTCGAACCGTCCTCGCCCATCTTCCCACGGCGTCTTCCGGGGGGAAAGGTGGACCTGCTTCTATGTAAAATCACCCAGACGCGACCCTGGACCCGAATCCTCGGGTCAGGGGTCCAGACCTTGAAGCGTCTGGGTCGTAAAATGTCCATCGTCCTGGACCTTCCAAGGGCTGTTGCATCGGGATCCTGGATAGTAGTGGGCTGGGGCTTGCATCGGTGACCCCTTTCAAGGTGCTGGGTAAAGCAATAGGCTCTTTGGTAAAATCTATTCTTCCGCGGGTGATTCCCTGGATGAGTCAGGTCATTACAAACACACCGTTGGTGCACGCAAAAGTCATAGTGCTGATAGCAAACCGATGTGCTTTGATGGCCTAGCCACATCGTTGGAAAAAGAAGCCATGGCATGGAATGATGGCATCAAGCACTGGTTAAGTTATAACGAGGAGACCCCAGTCTGTTCACCCCCGATTCGGGCGGCTTGGGAAAGCCTTTCAACATCTGTCACACCGTCACGCCCAGTCGACGTGAAAATGCAAGGCTGGCATCAAAAAAAGAAGCTATAAGGCCATCTAAGAAGGTGCCAGCAGTAGCAGGCTGGAAGAAAAACCTTCCGGAAAGCTGGAGATCCCAAGAGACATCAGTTACCTTTTGATTAAGAAAGTGGAACAAGCTCCCGCTCTGCTGAACATCAACGGTTTCTTGTCAACCAGTTTGACGCTGTCCCGGGATGGTCTCAAGACACCCTTTTTGGACGCACGAAGGCTGCTCGGCTGCACCAAGCGAATCCCTCGGTATCACATCCATAGTTACGATATCTTTGACGAGTTGTTTCCATGAACGCGCTGATGATGGCCTGGCGCCCGAGAACAAAACAAAAAGCGGTGGATGAACAAACACGAAGAGCGGTTGGTGATCAAACGGGTGTGTGGGTTTTTTTACACTTTTGACAAAATAGTCCGGGAGTGACACGCTCGCTCTCCGCCGAGTTTCCGCCTTGCTTTGGATGAAGCCATATGCCTCGAGGGAAGGGGGCATGGCAGCACCCACATTCCGAGACCCACATGGAACCAGGCGAACGGCAATTTCACCAGACTGGTGGAAGACGATGGAACCCATGGCCAACGCAGTGGTTGCCCAAGGTTTTCCACTTCCATGTTGGTGAGACAAAGGGTATGTGGTAAGACATTGTTTGAATTTGTTGAAGGCCTGCTACAGAAAATAGGTGTCACAACCTCGCATGCCTGGTGCGTCATCTGTTTCTCTACTCTTTGCCCTCTGATATCCGCAAAGGAAGGTGTGGCCAAAGGTTTTGAGAGCAATATATATTACAGTAGGAACTGCTGTAGCCTATTTGTCGGTTGACCTGTTTGTAAGCACAATAAGCAGCTCATAAGCAATATATAAACCACAGTTTGTTGGACACATCCAACGCAACCCCCCGTAGCTATACATGCACATATTCATCCAAAGGCAAATAGCTGTCAACCTACATACCCAGCATTGCCGCATTTGGCAGTTGGAAGGGCGTTCCGTCTCGGAAGTGAATATCCCACCTCCCCCCCCACCTACCTACATCACCCGACATCCTCCACATCCTCCCCAACGGCGCCATATTTGGCACCAGTTACATTCCTATCAGGACTCTTGGCTCAGTCAACCCCCAAGTGGTGGTTTAAGAAACAGTTTCTTAGAGTACTTGTTGAGTACCACCGGCTTAGGAGCTGAACTCAAGAGTAGTTGGTTGGTGGACAGTGGAGCCACTCCAAAAAGAGTCGACTGGGGATGACTGAGCTGTTCTGAGGCTGACAGGACCGGTCCAAGTGACCACTGTGGGATGCTCTTGGATGATCTTGGCCACCACGTCTGGTAGACCGATTCGGCTCTCTTGACAGGCCCGCTGCTGCTCGGGTGAAAAAATGTTCAAGCTGCAGGCCTCCAAATGTGCGACGAAGAGAGTTGATGTTGTTTTTCTTGAACTACTCTAGCCTGGCTATAGCAAACCAACCCTCTTTCTCTCTGTCAATCTCATATTTACACTTCACTATAACATGCCCACGCATGTCCAGCTAATTGAGATGTTGAGGGACACAAATTGCAAAACTGACTGTGGGGCTGACTTGCAAATCCAATGCGCCTTCCACCTCTGAAGCACTGCCCCCTCCGTGTTGGAGGGAAAAACGCCCGCATAGGAATCAGAGATCACCGCTGCATTCTGGTGGGGGATGAGCTCCAGAATGGTGGGCGAATAAACTTGAGCGGCCAAGGCACCTGCGATGGCAAACCGTTTGAGTGACTGCAGTCATCTAGAGGAAAAACATGCAAACTCCACACCCCAACGAATTCACACCTGTGATGAGTCTCGAAATCAAAGGGGGTTGACATGGGTTGACACATGAGGCCTTGAGAAATATCTCCTTTGTTCTCCAGCATGTTACAATATTTTACACTTTCCAAGCCACGGGTCTCTCAACCACACGACAGCTTAGATGACATGTGTAGGATATGTTTCTCATTTGGGAAGGGAAGAGCTGGACAAGTTGATGTTCATCGGTTGTTCTTTGTGCTGGCGCACTTACCCTGCTTAGCCTGGGGGCCTGCGGGACCTGGGGTCCACACCGTCCAATGGAACGTTCCGTTGACGGAACGTTGATGGACCCGCCCTTGAATGCTACTCATTGGACACCAACCAAGAAACGTTCGCTGAATGGGTACTCGATCAGCTTACTGTATGCATCATGGAACATGATCCAAAAGCATCTCCCATGAGCAAACTTCTAAGAAAGGATTTTGTGACTAAGGGTCAATGGGCCCACCGGTTCACGATGTTCGCTCAAAGTACGCACGATGTTCGCTCAACCAACCAGCTACACCAAATGTTGGGGGCGGTCGATGTCTACCCTAGCCTTCAAAGACCATTAGACAAATTGATCTGGTTCTGATCTATAGTTGGTTCTTTGAATCTTAGGGTCTATCTTGGCGCCGGAGGGTGTTTCCCAAAAAAAACGGACGCTGCCCGCGGCATACGTCGTGTCCATGCGTTCCGGGCCTGCGGAACTTCCCATCATGACCTCATGGCGGCAGCCGGTGCAGTCGTTGGATACGGGTGCCGCATGCAGATTTTGACCCGTATCCACCTTCTCAGAAGGTACGACGTGGACCCTCCAATACAAGAGGTCCAATCAGCTTCTGAAAGGGTATGTTGTGGATCCATAGGGGAAGGAATCCCCAGAGGAGGTAGGACAAAGGTAGGACTTTGCCGCAAAGGACAGCGAACTGCCATCTAAACTCCTTACCTTGCAATTTCTTCTTTCTTAAGGCAAGTTCCACGTGTTCAAAGATTCCTTGCCCAGTTCATGTGGCTCAATGAGCGCGAAAACATGGATGATGTCACCGTGGTCAGCAAAGTGTCACTCTGGTCATTGACCATTGAGGTCAAATCAGGTCAATGAGCTGCACAAAGTTGGATGATTGGATTAAAACATGAGCACCTTGCTCTATGTGCACTGCATTATCCATAGCCAGGTGGTCTGGAACCTGTTTGTTGTTTCACAGATCTGCAAAGATCCACGAAGAATGTCTGCAACATGCTGAATACTTTGCCAGGTTGCTAGGGACGTCACGCTCTTGAAGTTCTTCTGTACCTTGCAAGCAGCACATGGAATAGAAGCAAAGGTGGAACCAGAAACCAGTCTCACTGACTGGTTCAATGGTTTTATTGTTGACCAAAGCTCAGTGACCTTCAGCCTGGAACAGTCCATCCCTAGGCCTCCAAGTACCTTCTGAGAAGGTGTTTCGGGTGGATGCCAGGAGGGTCCAAATACCTTCTGAGGAGGCACTTGGAGGTGTAGGGCATTGAAGATCTCTTAGCTTCTCCACACCCAAGACCTTCAGAGGTCATCTGGATCGCTTGAGGCCCAAGACCGCCATGACGACCACCACAGCCATGCCACTGGATCCCACTGCGATCGGGGAAGAAAAACGATTCAGAAAGAACGATCAACTAAAACCCCAGACGCGACCCATGGGACTGCCAAATATGCCGATCAGTTATGGTGGTTCGGGGGGGGTCTGGCTGGGGCGGCAGTCCTATGGCAGTCCAGACAGGTCGTGTCTGGGATACTCCATCGAGCTTCGACTGCGACCAGGCTGGGACCGACAAACTGAAAAACATTGGACGGGCACCACCTCCATGTACCTCCATCCGCCTCCCATCCCAACAGATCTGCGTCGCACCACACGGATCTGCCTCGCACCGCGTCCTCCTCTTCTTCTCCCGTCCAAGCGGCCCACTGCAGCACCGCGCGCAGATTCACCGCGCCCGCCTGGCGCAGCTGTTGCGCTGGGCCACGGCCGGAGGCCCAGGACCTGAAAGGAGAAGGGGACAGAAGGTCGGTGTGGTGTGGAGCGGTTTCCTGGTGCATGGAAGCTTGAAGACGGCTCTGAACTGAGTCAATATTGTCTTATCATGTTTTATCTATTTGTTTTGATCTGACGTGAGAAAAAGCACTTTCATTACTCAATGCTCTTGGAGGTTTTCTGGAGGTTCCTTTGTGTCTTTTTTTTCCAGCATCTCAGGGGCCATGAAGTCACTATGCGAGGCTCTCAACATGACCAAACTGATGCCATCATAGCCTCCAGGCTGTGCCCTGTTTTCTGCCGGTGTTCCCATCTTGTCGATCCCATGTTCCCTATGGATGCACATACCTTCTCAGAAGGTAATTGGACCCTCCAAGCCCACATAAATAGTCTCCAATCACCTTCTCAGAAGGTATGTGGATCCATAGGGGTTGGATTTTCACATGGGATGCCCTTCTTCACCTGCTTTACCAGCTACTGTGCTTGAAGCGAACAAGTGGCGTCGCTCGCTCCACCTGGGCCTGTCACTGGGTGGCGGACACCTCCGGCCGAGGCGCTGCGTGACGTCGCCCAAGAAGATGTCGCCGGAGCAATACAGCACCTGGCCGAGTGAAACAAGCCACCGAAACGACTGCTCCACCGGTGGAGGGATCCGCATGGTGTTGGCCGGAAGCCTCGAGTGACTCGTCTCAAGAAGAAAGAGTTCGAGTGGCCATGCCCACAAACAACTGGAAGGCAGTGTGGATTGTCATATGAAATCCAAAGTATGAGGATTCAGTGAAATCTGGACCTCAAATGGGCAGAATCTGGTGAGATGACTGACCGGCGATAGTAATCAGTAATCTCATGTAATCATAATCTCTTTGTCTTCTCCTAATTCAATCAGCACAATTCTTATCTCCATACCTCAAATGACCTGCGTTACGTCTCGTCTTCCGCCTCCACCACCGTGTAGTCTCGCAAGGGGTTCCTGCGCGCACCCACCGACCGGAAGACGCGACGACCGGAACGCGGGGAACCCGGTAGCTGGCAGGCGTTTTGAAAAAGGCGTTCTGGCCATGTCCGTTTTTTCTGTTAGCTATAAGCGTTCCCGTCGTTCGCGGCTTGTTGCAAGATGGTTCACTAAATATGTTCATTGTAGAAGTCATGGACCAACGTGTTTGGATAGAAGTCCGACCTGAGGTTGATGTGCCCCGACCCGAGGACCCCACTTCCGAAGAGTCGGTATTTTCCCACCAACATGCGCCCCAAACATGCTGACCGGAGCGAAGTGTCCTTGGATGTCCTTGGTATTTGTCTTACCTTTGCATGTTCAACTTGTTCATTTTAGATATTCATATATCACTGTGTGACTCTGTGTCTCTGCAGAAAGGTCAGGTCCCAAGGCAAAGACGCAAACACTTTCTGCACCAAGGAGGGCGTTCCCACCCATGGGATCCGTTTTCGTACCCTCTTTCAGGTTCGGTACGTTCCTGCACCCGACGTTATGGCACCTACAGGCCACAGTGGAGAGGTTCACATCACCCTACCTGAGGTTCGGGACCCACCTGGATCCTTAAGGGATGGATGGGTAGCTCGGTAGGTCCAATGCGCCTTTCGTTTCATGTGGGAAAAACCAGACCCCGCGAAGATCGATTGATCGATGAGGAGAACCTGTGGGGGCGGTTGCTGTTCCAAAGCTCACATGCGCATGTTCAATGTACCACCTTGAGGACATCTGCGCTATAACCTGCGGGGAGGCCCACCTTTCATGTAGAGGAGTATTATCTTGATGAAGGCTGCAACATAAGGCTTCTAAAGACATCTAAAGACTGGAAAGCACGTGCAGTTTTTTTTCCATCGCTTCTGGTCTGCTATGCATCTCGCTACCCCAAGGCATTGTCAAAAAGCAGCGAGACGAGTGACGAGTTGTTCTCGCTCTTAAATAAGGCGTACATACCACCTGGGCGACCAAACCACCCATGAATTCCCCCAGGATTCTGTGGACAGTCGTCGACCTCTAAGGTGGGGTTGAAGTCTGCGGTTTCAGCAAAAGGAGCCTCGGAGGCTGGGCCCAGCCGAAGAGTCTGCGGGTTTTGGGATGAGCCGCGAGATTCTGATGTGTCTATGGAAAAATATCGTGCTCGCCAGGAAGTAACATGTTCCCACTCATGTGCCCGTATAGGTTACGCGGGAAACACGATGGAAGATGTCCGGAACGAGTCTTTGCTGAAGCCTTCCGCTGGTCCCTAACAGCGTGTCAAGCGAATCAGCAGCCCCTTTGGGGCAAGCCTTGACTGGAAAACGGTGCACTCCTCAGAGTCCAAACCATGATAGATCATGATAGATCACGTTCCTCAGAAACCATCTCGCGATCGCACGCATGCCCGCAACTCATCCTGGGCCGGTCGCATTGGGCGAGGGGTCTCTTTTTCCTGGTAACCTAGCAGCATCTGCAATACACTTGGTACCTTTCAAGCCATGAACAAAACACAACAAAACCATCCAAATCTGTCTCTGAATAGAACCGTGCCGCATGCTTGTGTAGAATTAAGTCACCAACTCAGTTTCCTGGGAACATCATTTACCTCTGTCCTGGTGAGAATAATTACATTGAAAACAAAAATTAATAACACCCCACCAGGCCACGAATTCCTCACTCACCCTGGACGCTGTCACCATGCCGTGGATGCCCTCCGCACGGGCAAGGCGGTTGATAGCTAGCATGATCAAATGCGAGAAAGTCATCTGGGCCTTGGAGGGCGACGCACCAAGCCCCGGACTCAGGGATCCACACTGGATTCAGAGGTGGAGGGATGCCACGACTGAGACGACGGATCCACCAAGTGGTGGGGAGTGGGAACCGAAGCTGATCGGGTCTGCCGTCGATCCGGGAATGGAGCAGTTCCGTCACCAGCCAGTGTGAGGACGTGTGGATGTGAGGATGTGGCAAGTTTCAGGGGGAATGGCGGGTTTGTGAGGAGCCGGAGACCTGCAAACTGGAGTGAATATGAGGAAGTTCAACAGAGCATGTGGTTTTCAGGGTCCATGGGATCGTCTAACTGAAGACATATGCAGCACATCCGCAGCCAATTGATCGTGACCTCAGCTTCTCCACCGGCTTCTTTCAGTCGAGGCACCAAGATTTTGAGAAGGTATCCAGGAACGTTCGGGCACAAAGAACAGGCGGCCTACCGGCCAAAAGATCGAAAAGGGGCGAACGGGCGAGCGTGTTTTCATAGTACCAAACCACTGTCTTGAAGAAAAAGGTGATGTCAAACCATGCAGGTGTAGAATGATCGCATCAAGAAACCGATCCACCGATCCAAGAGCCACAGCTTGTGAACTTTCACATCTGTACGCAACTTCCGGGCAAAACACGGCAACTGCTTGCAGTAGTAGTAGGGTCTGAAAGAATGAACCAGAGGTTGGTTGGTTGGTTTGGCCAACTTCCTTTATAACATTTAGCACAATGGGTTGCGCTCCCTGAAATCATCATGGGCCAACGTGGATGGCCTGGCCCAAAGGGAGTACCATGAACTCCGAAGACCAAACAGGTGGTGTATTCCAATTCCAGGATTTTCTCAATGTGATATTCTTCGGAGCCTCCGCTTGCAAAATCTTCAAGACTTCGCCAGCTTCTTGGGTGATGTTGAGGTTCGTCGCTTTTTCACGGCAAAAGTGAGAGATCAGGCCGAAGAAGTCCCGGTGGGATAAGGACTGCAGGAAGCTTCTCTGCTTCTTGTCCGGCTTGGCGACCTTCTCGTGCGTAAGGTGGCAGAAAGAACAACCAGCGCCGTTCTCACAGTGTCCTCGTGGGAAGGGAAGGAGAAGAAAAACGAACTCCAGAAGTCCGCATTATTGCAAACATCCGCGATCTTGTTCTGTCACTGAGTCACAGGAGATTGGTTTATTGAAACCCATGAACAAATACCGTGTCTACTGTCTACTGCCCGGGTCCTAGCATCAGGAACCTCATGCCCTCAACGTCCGATACAAGAACAACAAAAGGTTGAGGTTTCCGATCATTTCTGTGTTGATATTCCCATAGAAGTCCAGTTCTACTATTGGCACCACTCCGGGAAATTCCTGGACTCGGGATTCAGTAATTACATCAACACATCGATATACGCGTTATTTTCTCCTGCCATCCAGAAGATGCAGGGCCTTCGGCAAAGCTCTGGGTGTCCAACGCTCCCACTGAGCACCATCTCTGTGCTCGGTGAGTGAGCTCCGGCTCGGGTTCGTCCAGGGGCGAGCGGGCTGCGATCGAGAGGATTGGAGAGGTTCTCGGAGAGCATCTGCACATAGGTCTGCGAGCTCTCCTACGTTGCGAGCTCTCGGGCATGAAAACAATGGAAAGCACGTACAAACGTTAAACATTCCAGAAGTCAAATAACTCATCTTCAGTTGGGTCCAATAGCCACCCCTGAGAAACTCCTGGTTGGATTGCCTTTTGATGCTGCGACTCCCAGCAGTCTCGCTGGTAGGGTTCTTTTTGGGGTCCCTCAATTCAATCAAGGGCGAACGCTCAAAATCCATATTAGCTAAACTGGATTGAACTGGTGGGTCAAATGCAGCGACATGAAGAAGCTGGCAACGTGGAGGATGTCCCAAAAAGAGCATCAAACAAGAACGTGGTTTCCTGACCATTCCTGATCATTCCATGCGCTAAAGAAAACGGCTCCTCTTCTTGCAAGAACTCCTCAACCTGGACCATTGACATCTTGGGTGGCAAACTGCTGGCACGTGGCACTTCGCTCTGAAGCGGGGGGCATCGCCTCTGCATCAATGAAGCCATTCCTGTACTTCAATGTCAAAGCCATCTGAATCACAGGGCCTCCAGGAATATCTGCTCACTCTCTTGCCTTGAAGCCAAAAGGTCTTTGGGGGGCGTGCGCCCCATCTTCCGCACTTCTTGCCGACCCAACAGGAGAACTCCACTCAGGACCGAATCACTAACATTGACAAGCGTAACTTCAGTGCGACATTGTCTTCATTGTCTTCACTTCTGGGCCGCCAACGGGACTTGTTCAGTGCCCTACGCCCCCTTCTGCACAAAAGGCAAACAATCGTGGTCCGTATCTTTCCCCACTCATCCTTCACCTCTCATCATATCATGCCCCCCAAAAATCACCCTGTTCACTTAGGAGCCGATATTTTGGCTGAAAAGGCCCTGGCAATGGAGGGAGCTCACTGAATTCCTTTACGTTGTTCTTTTTGGAGCCCCACCTCACCCTGCCCGTTCTCGCACCTCTGGGCATCGCTCAGGGGGCCACTGTTACTCAGCAGCCCGGAGCCCGACAAGGCCTCCTGCCGAAGCGTGTTCGGCGGGCTCGCGAGCCGTTTTGAGCCCCAAAGAGTCCAAAGTCCAAGGGAAAAGGATTCCAAAGGGCTTCCACTGCTTTGCAACCCCAACAATCCCAGACACTCCATGTATGCCATATATGCCAATCAGTTGGGGTGGTGCGTTTGGGGGTCTGGCTGGGGCGGTCCTATGGCAGTCCCAGACAGGTGCTCGTGTCTGGGAAGGCTCCCACCGGTCCCACCAGTCGGATTTGGTCTTCGGACGGCGAACAACGCTGCCTCGGCCCAGCAAATCATCTGGGCCAGGCCCGCTCAAATCCGCTCAGCCAAGATGTGCAGATCAGAGTGGTTGCTCAGTGAGCTCCACCTACTTCCCAGCAACCACTCGGACAAACCAATTTGGGGAGTGGAGCTCTGACAACCACTCAGAGTGATTGGAAGACCAATTTGGACCCACCCCCCATGTCTTCAACCAGCCCATGCCGAAGTCGGAGGTCTGAGGCCTCACCATGCTTCCTTCATGCTCACCAAGGCAAAGCACCTACGCCGTCGTCAGCCACAACTCAGCACTGCTCTGCTCCTGGATGTCAGCCACGCAGGCGTGCTTGAAGCTGGTGGATTCCCAACAAGCACCACCGCCTGACAGCGTGGACTGTTCGGCTTTTCTGTGAATGTGCGCGGATCCCCATCTGGGGCATTGGGAGACCTCAAAGCTATCAGGGTGGGAAGTACAAGGATGTATAGATCAAAACATGATCAAACCATATGCGGGTCAATGAGTTTGAGCATATTGAGGCATCTGTTTGGCTTGGGAGCAACAAAAAGCTAAGACTCAGCAAGAAGCTCACTTGGCCGCCAAGTATGCACACATGTTGGGAGCAACCATCTTGGAGGCCCCAGAGATGTGACATGACTTCGTGGTGTTTGATCATGAACACTTGGAGCTGCACCAAGCACATGTGACCAAGCACGTCTCGCAAACTCCTGCCTTTGTGGTGAGTTGCATGTGACGTCAATGTGAACCAATGATCTCGTAGAAAAGGAGTGACATGGACATGCACATGACATGAACTACAGCAAATTCAAGCTGCCCAAACCCTCTGCCTCTCACCTTGCCGGGCCCTGATGAATGGATTCATTGGGAGGCTCGCACAGCGAGCGTTTGTGTTCAAGGCGCTAGAACGACTATGTCAAAGGCCACAAGCCACCCTACTATACCCAGACACTCCATGTATGCCATATAAATGCCTACATTGACCCCCCCAAACGCACCACCCCTGGCCTGATCGGCAGTCCTGGCTGGCAGTCCCATTAGTCGTGTCTGTACCAATCCAATCCGACCCACTCCGCTCCAACTCATTTCACGCCTTGGAACGAGATCAGCAGTTTCTGGGCATCACCTGGTCGCACCACGAACTGGTAGGGCCCTCCATCCTGCTGCAAACCTGGGCAAGCCGAACGAAAGGCGGCCGGAACGCCCGGAGCGGTTCCCCGGAAAGAACACCCAGAACGCCCGGAGGTTGCGCCGTTTGAGGAGCAGAACAAGAGCTCTGCTGTGCTGGGAGGATGATTCATGACACCAAATGGCTGTGGTATGGTGATGCATAGTGTAATGACCGTTTCAAACCATTGGTTTCCTGTGAACTGAGGGCGGTGATTGACGATGGTCATGTGTGCTGGGTACTTAAAATAGTCATACATGCCCTACAAGCCAAAGACCTCATTTGACCGAGTTGGTCATACAAAAGCACCACTCAAGAAGGGAAAAACAGGTTGTATACGAGGTCAGACTGGACTTGTAGGGATGGACTATGATGGAATTTCATTCAAAATGCATCCTCCTTTATCCATCATGGTCCATCCCATCAGGCAGGTCCGATGTTCCGACTGGTGCCAACGAACTTGGGCTACCCAGCGGCTACCCATGAAATTGATAGCACGGGGTCAGCGGCTTCGATCTTCTACAATGTATAGCTTCGATCTTCTTCAGAAAGCCTCACCATTTCAATGCGAAATGGATCCCTCGAAATGGAGGGGTTCCATTCATCTAAGCGAATATAAACCATAAATCATAGCTGAAACCACCGTCGCCTCATCCCAGTCCTCCGCGTCCCCTTTTTTCGAAAAAATATCCGTCATCTGCACCGAGCAGCACGACGTCCGGCCCCCCGGTTGGATGATCGTGGTGCCCTTCATCGCCGACACCGCGCAGCGTTGTTGGCCACTCAGCGCGCAGGTTCCGCCCTTCGGCGCCGCCGTCGCGCCGATGACCGTGGTGCCGAGCAGATGTTTGTGGAGGCCACGCCTGAGGATCCAAGGAAACGGCCGAAACAGTGAGGAACGAAGGATTCCCCTAGGCCTCCAGTCCTACCTTCTGAGGTTCGGTGTTTGGGGTGGGTTTGGAGGGGCCAAATACCTTCTGAGGAGGTACTTGGAGGTGTAGGGCAGATTATATAGATCACCCAAGGCGAAAACCGGGACTGTATAGGTTCTTGATGATTCTTGAGACCTGTTGAGGTGGGGTCAGTGTAGGTGAATGCTCGGAAGTCTCATACAATCTGTACACATCGTGTGGGTTTCATGACTCGATCTGGTGCGAAAACATGCAATGCAAACAAAACGGTTCCAAAGCCTGGGGTTCTAAACTACTAATACCAGGACCCCCCGTTTCGGGGTGGTGAATGGATACCCCGAAAACAGTATAACCTCTAATGAGCTATAATTAGACACCCCTTATTAGGGGAGGCCCTGCTCCATGGCAATGTTCCAGTTCCACCTCTTTCAGGCTTCCAGCTCCTCAACCGCTCCGTGCTTTCTCTGGGATGTTTGAGAAAGGTCGAGTGAATGAGCAAAGATCTTCAATGCCCTACATCTCCAAGTACCTCCTCAGAAGGTATGACTGGACCCTCCTGGCACCCACCCCAGTCCCACCTTCTCAGAAGGTACGACTGGAGGCCTAGGGATGAGGTCTATTCCGCCCGGCGCACCCGGGTGATATCTCTTGGCGTTGTTGGAGGTTTGCTAAGGTTTGCTTTATCCTTTTCCATGGTCTGCGTAGCTTGCATCGTATCAATGCACTGCACATTGTGTAAGTTGTTTTGGGGGACGTGCTTGTTTAAAGCTTCTGCTGCATAGAATTCCCGCTCTTAGATCTATTTCAGGTGAAGTTGCTCCCAGTTTGACATCTATTTACTCTATTTTCACGGTCCCCATGTTCCACTCGCTTCACATGAAACTTGCCCATCAAACCATCCAAAGCATTCTATGGCGGAATAATTCTTTAAATGGATGAGTCATTAGTCATGTTCATGGGGTAAAGTATTTATATAACTCTTCCACTCCTTCCACTCCACTGCTCTGGGTCCCCCATGGTCCCCCCCAAAAGAGGTCCAGCCATCGCTCCCGGGGTGGGGGGCTCCAAGTCACTGCAACTGTTTGAAGTGTTCCTCGACCTCTTGGATCTCCGACTCATTTCTCGGCTGCCTTTGAATGAGGCTCCCCTCCTGCGACCACCGGGTCGGTCGACGGGATGGGTTAGGAGGCCACGCGACGCGGCAGCGACCGACCCGCCGATTTTCGCTCACTGGATGCGACCCGACCCCTACTCACCCCGATTCTCCTGTGGGACTTCCACGGCCCCCCCGTGTGGATTTTAGGCCCTAAGATCCCTAAGGTGAGTGGATGATGTTAGGCACTTTTGGCTGCTTTGTCTGGTCTCTCACCTTTCTCACCTCGCTTTGAAGTCCCCCCAAAAAAAGCAAACCGCGGTCCCGACTCAATGTTCTGTGGGACCATTCTCCGGGAAGAACGCCGCAACAGGCGAGCCATTACTGACTCCGGAGCCAGACTTGCACTGGTCTAAGAACGGTACCAAGTGGTTCAATCTGTACACCTGTTCACTTGTTCGCTTGTTCACTAGACAAGTTGCCAGAACTCAGTAACAAGTTGTTCATTTGCTCGGAACTGTTCACCTGTTCAAAGTGGTTCAATCTGTTCGAATCTGTTCCCCGCCTGTTCCTATTCGAGAGAGGAGCGCTCCCGATCCCCAAAGAAGGGTGCAGGTGAATCCACCCTGGGTAGGGTTACTTCGGTCAAGAAAATCAAAAAGTGGCATCACTCACGTGGTTCTGCGTTGGTTGTCCCCTGAGAATACATGTTGCATATGTAGTGCATCCGATGGCATCGCGTCATATCAAGCAAGCACGGTCAAATTACAACCCTCCCAAATTACACAAAGAAAAGCTCAACCAAACAAGGGCTAAAATAAAGAACGCATGCGGAACAGTTGATTCTGTCCCAAACAAGGGCTAGGTGGTAGTTGCCTTGCTGAGAAACAACAGCCAAACCAGCTGTGGCCGCGTCAGGGACGAACCAACCCCCCAAGCAAGACAAACATGAGAAAGCTTGACCCGAGCCAACCGAGCGAGCCGGAAAAACCGCCGGAAGTCCAAAATAACGAACCCTTCGACTGGTTTGTGTAACGACCGTGGTGTGCACGTCACGATGTACGACGAAAGCCTCACAGGTCGGGTGGTGCGACGACGACCAGACGACTTCGCACACTCCTCAAAGTCGCAGGACTCGCCCCAAGCCGTGCAGACCACGAAGACCAAGCTTGCCCATCGCGTGAGGTGCATGGCTGACGGTTGCATGCGGTCGCTGCGGTGTTCGTTTTCCGCCAGAAAGAGCCCCAAAAAGCAGTGAGGCCCTTCCACAAATAGAACAAATGCACAACATGAAGTACAGTAAATGAATGTATGTTTCTGTTATTGTTTGTAGCTCCTCAGGCGTCACATTGGCATCTCAGAACAAGATGTGAAGGAGTCAGAGAACCCTTAGATGACCAAACGATGCCTCTTTCCCAAGTTTTTCACCGTGTCTGTTGAGTTTGGTGATGGTCTTGCGTTCTCGCAGAGTATTGACCAGCTTTTTGCTGGCTGCAACGACGGTTCAGTGGCCTTGAGTTTGGCTGCAGGATGTCACACAAGATGCGGCGGAGAGGTGCAGCACCCCAAAAAAGAGAGTCCATTGGAAGCTGTTTTGGTAGAGAGGTCAAGGAACGGCATAGTATTCTGGCTAGTCCTGTGTTTCTGGAGTAAGGGACTGAGATGGAGTAAGGGACTGAGAGCTGGTTTACCTGAAAAACCCTGATGCCAATTCTCTCATTGAAACACATTCGCCAGTTCCTCGATTCCACATGAAATTCTCAAGATCCAGGTGGTAGCACTTGACTTGAGATGGGGTTCTTCTTTTCAATAGGGAGACTTGCTGGCCCCTGGCGCGACTCGCTGGGTAGACCTGGTGACTGGTCTACAACCTCGGGCTTCAGTTCACCCAAGGATCTGCCACCCCCTGAGGACCTCGTGTCTGCGCTGTAAGCGTTTGGTCCTCTCCAGCCGTATTTATAACTATAGTCCCTACCAGGGCCCCACAAACCATTAAAAACCGGGTTTTCCCCAGCAAAAACCATATGGTTTTTGTACAGTATGTGAAAACCTATATTTTTCATGGTTTTGAGGGCCCCTGGTATAGGGATCCAAGCACCTTCTCAGGTTCGGTACGACTGGACCCTCCTGGCACGCACACAACGGTGTCTCCAATCACCATCTGAGAAGCTATTTGGATCCCTAGGGAGTGTGATACAATAATATGCACCACACTTGGGAGACGAACCACGCGCTATTTAAAAACACGTGTCTCGCGACACTGTTTCGTGCATATCCGCAACTACTGCATATACCCTGCATTCATCAATCAGCGACAAAGCTAAACAAGCTAAAACAGAACATGTGTACAATCGAAATTATGAACCATTCAGCAATCATGGACCAACTCTATCTCTCCATCTATCTGTCGATCTAGAATTGACTATAAAACATACCTGGGTCTTCATAAGTATGCATTTTTCTGCCTTTTCAATCAAAACTGTTTTTTCAAGCAAGCGCCAAATATTTTGTACTGAAGCACTTTTTGCATTGACATGTTTTCGATGGTATGTCAAGGTTTTGAAACGGCGACTTTTCCCGACCAAACGGCGACTTTTGCCAACTGCTAGTTTGGTAACCTCTGTAAAAACATCGAAACGTCACTTTTGAAATGAAACGGCGTTTTTGACGGCAAACGACTGAAATTTGTGCTGTTTCGCCAAACGGCAGAAAAAACACACCTGTGGAAGGTCCAGGTATATATACTCCACTGTCAAGACGTTTAAACAACAAATCCATCCAATCATGCCATTCACCAGGGCTATACCAGGTCTCTCTCCTCCTCACGCCATCCGCCGAGCCCCACACGTATCGCGATCATCTCGGGCACGAGGGCCTGGACGCGTCCGGTCTCGTGACATGCCGGGTGCATGGTGCAAGACATCTTCTATTCGTTCGAGGCAGCCGATATGAGACACCAAGTATAGTTGTGTCCTGTAGTCACTACATGGCCCAAAATCGGGCAAATGACCTTCATGTTCTGTGATCCTTTTCGAGGAAGCTCAACTGCGAATTGAAGAAAGTGCCCCCCAAAAAGCCCGAGAAAGAATATCGGCAGCTCAGCCGGAATGGACTCGGTTAATGCTCTCCACATCTACCACATCATCCACAAACCTTCCAATACAAAAGAAACCCCAACAGGTGGATGGTGAATCCAAACCTTCCAAATCCCCCCTCAGACTCCCCCCAGACCGCACAACCACCGCCTCAGAACCGGATCCGAAGCTCGTGTGGACGGGAAGTACCGATGCCTGGACGTTCAAGTTCTCTTCCAGCCACTCGACATGCGTTTCATCCTGGGTAACTCGGCGCGCGTCGTAACGCGAACACGCCATTGGTGCAACTGCGTGGCATCTCTGAGCGATTTGATGGACATTGGGTGATATATGTTGGGTCTATCATGGTCTATCCTATTGCCAGTAACAGTCGATGATTATGCTAAGGTTGCAGGCCTTCCTCAAAAGTTGTGATGTTCTTGCTTACTGCCTGTTACAGGTTTACTTTGGACAGGCCCAAGTGATATATGAAAAATATGTGGCATCGCCACGAAGTGGTGGATGGTATGTGGATGGTATATAAACTTGTTCATTGTATTGATGCAGCATGTTGACCACCCATGCACTTTTGAGACTGATTCTCATGTCTTCCAACATCTTGAAACCTTGTACTAACTGGCAGAGGCTAACACACGGATCCCAAATCATCCAACGACAAAGAAAACATGATAAAACATACACGTCATCGCACTGCCTCGAAAAAGCGCACCAAAAAACGGTGCGCAGCGCACCGATATTTGTTGCCCACTAGTTACTAGCCAGGTGCCCCCACGTGTGCACGCACCACCATGGGCATCTTTGGGTAGAAGGTGCGGACGGCCGTGGCGACCTCGCGGCAGGCGCCCGGCGAGGACGTAGACGTCTGGGATAGTAGACATATATGAGTGAGGATCCAAAGTGGTCCCCAAACACGCACATGGGACTGGCATACATCATATGCTCCATACATGGAGTGACATCGGATATTATATCGTTGTGAGCCCAATGGTAGTCAGCACAAATTTGGAAAGCGCTTCATGTGTTAGACATCTCCAAGCATTCCCCCTTTTTGTTTGGATAATTTATGATAATTTGGGGCTTCAGGTGGTTCAGTTCTAGTTCTCATTGAAGACTTCGGGAACATCTGGAAAGCTGCCCTGCGCTACGCTTCACTTTCGAAGCCAAGGTGGCACACGGTAGGGCAAACAAAGCATGAGTATCATGAAGTAAAACCCTGCAAATCTTGGGGCAAGGCACATTGGCATGCCCAATTCAACCTATATTGATTTGTTGTTATACTTAAAACATGTCCACATTTAATTGGCCATATATATATATTTTTTAAAATCTATATATATATATATACGTAACATGGGATGAGGAATCACCAACAAATTAACGTGCTGAGGTCGGCGCATGTCTGTCGAGTCTACCAAAAAGTGCTGTCATTTGGTTTTCCGGGAGCTCTGAGAGAAGCTCCTCTTGCCAATCTAATAAGCCTTTCACGAGGAGGACGCTCATCCCCAACGTTGGACGCCTCATCCCTTCATTCTGCTCGTCTCTTCGTGGGGGGGAACTTCCACCGAGGTGTCATGGACCATGTGGCATCATGGCACTGGACGAGTCGGGTGGACCACGAAAAAGCAACAGAACAAACCAGCAAACATGGTCGGGCTACAAGGGTCAACCGGGTTGGTTTTGACCCACAGTCAAGTGCTGGCAGTCGTGTCTGCGTCTGCCTCAACTAAGAACAAAATCACAACCTCCAAGTCAGTTCAATGGGATGGCTGTTCAACCCCACCCTCCAATATACAAGCTACCTCTTTTGACCTCACATGACCGTTCCAATATAGCAACCAATCGCAGGAAAACCTTGCACCTAGGCATTCTCCTTTCATCTTTTCTTTCAGGCCCCCAAACGAAGTGCCGGAGCTCCTGTCTCGAAGTGCACCCGCCTTCTCGGTGCCGGAACCACACCGCCCGTCTGCTCGCTCGTCGACCGTCCTGTCCCCCGCCTTCTCGGTTCGCCGACGGCTCTCCATGGCCACCACCACGCAGCGTGCCTCGAGCGAGCGGGCGAGCGAACGGCGCGGTGATCGGAAAGGAGCCTGCACTGGGCGTGCTTTCGGGGCCAAGTGGGGTTCAGGTTTAAGGAGTGGGTCCTGGCTTTTGGTTTTAAATCCGGCCTACCTGATGTGATTATGTGATTCCTTTACCTTTTAGATGAGGGACCTGCAAGATTGATGCATTCTACAAAAGACTTGAAAGGCACTGGCAACACTTGTGCCAACACCCCTCCTCCAAGACAAAGTCTTGGCACAATTCATCAAACAAACTGAGCAAGCTTGCTAGCAAGTGGTGCCGTTGGCGCGACCCCACCCGACCTAACCCTGCTGACACCTTCCTCCACTTGTCGGCTCCATCAGTTGGATCACCGCCCCATCGCTTGGATCACACCCGCCTAGCCGTTTCTCCGTTTTTCCCTCCGGGTGCTCGCACTTGGCCCACTTTGAATTGCTCCAGCACCTGCCGAGGTCCGGATCGACTGAGGCAGCATCAGGCGGCATCACCCGCTGTCCGCTGTCCGCCACTCCAAGACGCCGCGTGGTGTTGAGTGGGGTCTTCTATACCAAGGACTCCAGGTGTCCAGCTGCTGCGGTGCTTGGGTGCCTAACCAAGGCATTGACTTCAGTTGGTAGGATTTGGAGGCGAACGACGGAATTGCTTCAGCCATCCCTGTCAACAAGCTGGTGAAAAACGCCCTTTGATGCTGCTCTTGAGCAGTAACAAAACTTTGTCATATCTCTGTCAAATGCGACTAGTACGAAAACAAAACATAACAAATGATGACAGGCCTTAGTCTTATTATGTCTTATTCACCCTGCACGCACCACGGGCCCATGGGGTGCTCATTCTGGGAACACATGGGTGAGGACAAGAATTGGCAAATCGACTAAGAAAGAGACCCTTTTCTGCTCAATGCGTCAGCCATCAGCCATCGCCATTGCAGCATGCACAATCATTAGCAGCACACGATCGCATCGCGACGCGTGAGCCACGCCCGCGCGCGAGCATGGTCATCGGGTGGTATCGGTGTAGCTGACAATAAGGTCCGCACACAAGTCCTGCTTATCCACGAAGCATTGGACAAAAGAGAGGAACTTGGACACCCATCAGCTACAGATGATGTGTTTTATTCAGCAGCTAGAGAATTTGACTCATCTCGATCATTCGGCTGTGGTTTTTCATGAAACATCCCTCAAACAACAGGACATGACAGGACTTGATAGTTGCACCTCTTCGATTGTCCTCCACCCTTTTCGGAGAGCATCAGCACTTCGGACACGTCCCGCGCGTTCTTGAGGCTGCGCCCAACTGTGGGCAGAGATGGGCCAGAGCGGGTCAGCCACCACATGTGGTCAAAAACCCTGTTGATAATTGCGCAGATCTTTCGTGGGTCATTCTCTTTGTAGCCCAAACAAAACGCGTCCTTTCTTGTTCCTATTGTGTAATTAGAGTCCTTCCGTAGTCATCATACACCTGGGGCATAGGCCTTCCTGATGTGTTTTTCATGGCATACCTCTTATAGTCTTGGAACATGCTACATTCCCCCAAAAAGGCTGTAGATTCTCACTCGACTGTTTCAAGCAAACAAAGACCATCAGTGAACACTTTCCAGATTCTTCAAATTCTTTTGAATTCAACAACTGATCATGCATTTGTGGCGGGACCGACCATGACCATGAGGGCTGAAAAACCTGTTTTTTTTTAACTCACCATTGGATGTATAGGCATCTCCCCCCACCAGGAATTGTTCAAACAGCCTCTGCCTGCGCAAACCGACCAGTTTCGTTGCACTGAAGTCACTTATATACCAGAATCCGACCCTCCCACACGTGGCTTTGACCGCCCCAGAAACCGCTCCCATGACAGGGTCAGTGGAAGTCGTGTCGCTCCATGATTTGGACCTGGTGGCGCGGGCCTTTCGGATGTCTCACGAGGCCATCGCGGTTGAGGCGGGAAACTCCATCTCTCTCTCTCTCTCTCTCTCTTCATTGTCAAACCGTGATCTGCCAGCCAAAAACATCAGAACGGAGGGAATCAACGGATGGTGCCCAACTATATTTTTTTCTTGATCCAATCATATTCATTCACTGAAATGTACCCTGGTCATGGTCAACTCTAACAACCATACACAGCTCTGGTCAACAACCCTATACAACTCCCTGAGAATCAGGATCCAACTGAGTGGTTTTTGTTTCTTCTACAATCACATGTTCACCGTTTTTTCTTGTGCAAACCGAGTGGCGAAAAGAAGGCGGGTCATGGGGTCACCACTAAAAATGCACACTTGGCTGGATTTAGGTGACCCTGGCCCTACAAATCCACTTTTCCCACACATATGCCGATTGAAATATGACCCCAAAGTATCCCAAAGTAGCAATATCAACATCATAGATCTCTTATGATCTCTTCATCCAATCCTGAAAGTTGCAGCAAGCACCCTGGGTTAGAAAGGCCTCATAAGCCCTCTATACGACTCCCATGCTCCGCCCCCCCCTCAGCCCCTCCACCTGGGCTTCCCTGCGACTCGCTGAGCGCCCGCCTCCGCGTTCGGGAAGACGCGCTTCACCACCGGGAGCGCTTGCCCGGGCTTCGGCCGCAGCTCAAAGACGAAGTTGAAGACCTGGGTGGAAGGACGCGGTGGGATTCCGCAGAGCCCGGTCGAGAACGAAGTGACGGGCGGTCTGGACTGAAAGATCTGAAAAGAGATCTCATGAAACATCTTGATGCCCCACCCCATGCTCAACTGGGACTGGGCACCCCAATCAACATGTTCATCGACTTAGACCCCAACAGCTTGTTCATGCTTTCTGCTGGGCGCAGCCGGTTTCGTCTCCCAACAGCTTGTCCAGGAGTCCACCGTCGCCATGAAAGCAACTCTTCGGCCAAAAAGCGTCTCAAACGAAAGGACCGGACGCCAAAGCATCTGGACGTCTCATGACCGGACAGAAACGGGGAAAACCCCTCAGCGAGTGAAAGACAACCTCAACCAGGAGAAGGAACATCGACCTTACACCCCCTTGGCCCACGAGGGTTTATCATGGGATGTTCCATGTATGTTTCCTGCTCCATGTCACATACATCGTTGCATCGCGTCCTTTCTCACCAAGTGACGTTGGTGATCATGCTGGATTTCCTGAGACCAATCCGGCAGCAAGACGCATATGCCAAAGATTATTTTATATTATTTGTGTTTGAAGTTTAGGTGGATTCAGATTCAGGTCCTACCCATGTGCTCGGTCATTCACAGGGGCCAAAAGAAAGACTCTCAACAAACAGAGATGGCTGAGAGGAATCCCAAGGCCTGGCGGCCAAGGCCTGGCTTATTAGCATGATTTGCCCTGGCTCCCAGTCACATCCATAGCAACTCCAAGTTACTCAAGTTCATCTCAATTCAAGAAACATGAGGCCTTTGCTTTCAGGCTTGGTACAGTGGCCATTTTATGTAATTAGTTCATTTTCTCATGGACTCAGGGATGACTTTGGGAGCGCCGAGAAATTTTACCAACTCCCTTCTCACCGCAGACTTCCCGCAGCACAAATCCTCTGGCCATGCATCAAATCTGGCTTCAACACGGAGGCGGTGACCTCGACATGAACCACCGGGCGGACCTTCGTGTAGGTGATCATCACCTGTCCTCAGGAAGCAAATAAAGGCCATCCGAATCTATAGGGGCTAAGTGGTCGAAGGAAAGAGGCGAAAGAGACTCAACATGAAATCAATGACTTGGTGAATCATCTCCCCAATCATCTCATCAATATGAAACGACGCTACCATATAAAAAGTAATATCCAAACACTCCATCCAAGGAGTATTTACGCCAGCGTACATGTAGGTAAATTTGCCATACGGGGAGTGTCTGGGATAGGAATCACACAGAATCAGCACCCAAAACCACCGGTCAAAACCACACACATGACTGACTCACAATCTCGGTCAACATCACTTTAGCCTCTCCAAATCCAAACCGGATCAAACCCACTACATCCCACTACTGCAACCGTGTTCGCCCATGTTCAACCACCTTAAGTCCCCAAAGCCCTGCCCAACCCCCCCCCGAAACTGAAACCCTTCCGCAGCAACCAACACGGAAGACCGCTTCGTCCGCTTTCCACTTGTCGCGCTGTGTGTTCGGTCGGAATCCGGGGCACCGCTGAACTCGCAGATGTCGCCGACCTCCACTGGCTGAAGGAAGGTCACCTCGTCCACCTCCACGAAGTGTGGGAAGGAGCCCGCGAACATGTAGGCCGTGGGAAAGGCGCAGCGGTAGGCACACCTGGGCCCAGAGCAGACGCCAGCATGCGCTGAGATCAGATCAGGATAGCAATTGGACTAGGAGCCACAAAAGCTGGGAAAAAAATGAGCAAACAAAAAGCAAGGGACTTTGAGGCTCATGAGCTTTCATGAGCCTCAATACATATTTGGCACTTGGCCTTCCTAAGAAAAATACCGCTCTTGGAAAACTGCGACAGCTGGGTGACCCCGTTCGGACTTCATGACAAAACGATCTTCTTCCAGGAGGCTCTTCGGCTCTTAACGGTCGATGTCACATCAATGTGAGTCGTCTGGACTGACGAGAGTCGTCTGACGTTGGGTTGCTGGCTGTTAGCACTTGCCCGTGCACTGCATTCGTGTCTTGGGAGCTGGAAGAAGAAAGAGTTCCCCTATTTTCTGAAAGCTTGCAATCGCAGCTCTGGATTCAAAGCTAGGGCCCCAAGAGTTTCACTCTCGACTCACTAATGAGGCAACACAAATCTCTTGGAGTTTGCTCAACTTATGTTCTAAAAAAAATGGTCCAACAACAAGACGGCTTCTTTTCGGCACGCCACTGTCAATGTGTCTTTTCCCCTCCCCCCTTCCACACCTCTGTCACCTGCGCCTGCAACGACCTGCCAACACCTCCCTCGTCACCCTCATCCTCAGCCGCTGGTTCCAAGGGACCTCATGAGGTACCCACCGAACATCCGTCCGGCGGTGTTCCGCTGCTGTGGCTGGCAGATGATCATCGTCTCCCGCCGTGTCTGGCTGATGAGCACCGCATCTCCCACGGCCAGGCCCGGCATATCCTGACCATTTGGGAGAGATACCGAGGACTGGGTTGTAGAGGAAATTAGAGGAACATGATCTTCCACAGACCCCAAGATGTCTTCTAGATGGAGGTTCACTAAAAACCACCGAACTTGGGGTATTTACACTGTAAATATGTGGGTATTTACACTCCGACGAACACGGAAGTAGGAAGCAAAACAAACTGTTCAAAAAGTTGCCTTCCAGAGGCTCATTCTTCCAGTTCACTGAGTCGGAATCTACATTGTTGATGGTCTGGGTAGATGGCTTCTTTTGTGGGTTTTACTGGGTGATTTGGGGGTTTGTACGGCTTTCTTTCTCCATGGCATTCAAGCAAGAAGAACAAGCACAGCAAAAACATCAATAAATGTCCTTGCATCAATGACAAATATCCCTTCTTTTCAAAGACCTGATCACTAGATCCAAACCAACAATTCGCTACGCTAAAATCCCTGGTTGAACGACAAAAGCAGCTACACTCCGACTAACACATCACATGGAAGTGGAAAACCCCCTGCTCACAAAGGAAAGAGGTCTTCCAAGAAACCATGTTCCACTCCGCTAGTGAGTCAGAGTGTCTCTTGAGATATCTTGAGTTGACTCTTGAGTTGAGACCCAGTTGGAAACCCTCTTGACACATCCTGCCCTGAACGTCCTATCTTGAGCGATATTCAGTCTTTGAACAGTCGTTCACCCACACACACGGAAACGATTCAGTCTTTGCATCCCCAAAAGCTATCAAACAACATCATTAAAAAAAACAAACAAACCTGCACCACATCGCGCATAAAACCGCCAGCCCTCACGAAATGTGGGAACAGTGTGTGTGTGTGCGCCTGAAGTAGCCGCCCTTGGTCTAAAAGCTCCTCGCAGGATTCAAGAAAAAAACACGACGTGAACACCTCACTGGCTCTTTAAAGAAATTATCATGCCAAAACCTATAAAGACTAATATACATGTCCTCCTGGTCGATGTCTGGCCTTGTTCACATAGCATCTCTCTCTGTTTTACATATATATTTATATACATGCTTCAGCCACATGTTCAAGGATGCATACAACCGCCACGTGGTTCCAACGGTTCCAACCCTCGCTCCCGTGCCATGGCGGCACTGTTTGCGTCGAGCTCATGGGTTGATCCACGCTTCCCTGCCTTGCGGGCAGCCTTCCTGGGGCTGATGGGGTGAAAACTCAGACTGTTCAAGAAAAGACCAAACATTGATGGTTTAGCGGGCCAACCTCACTCAATCATGGCGAGACTAAGACAATGCTTTGTTTGTTCAATCATTCCCCTGAGCTGGGTTCGACAGAGAGTTACATAAGACTGAAATCACCCGATCAGCTCAAGTAGAGTGAACATGTCTAAAACAACTTCTGCACCAGCCGGGCCTGTGTAAAAAATAATGTGTCGCCCTATTGGTGCCGGATGAAGAGTCGATCTTTTCAAGTGGCCCTCCAAAATGAGCAACATATATATGGCAACGTCACACCAAGGCCTCAAACAAGAGATGTCCGCGTGATCATGATCATGATCATATCCCCTGGGCAAGTTAGACACTTAGAAAACATACACGCTATATGACTATATGTGCTATGCTATGCATCGCATATTTAGACAAACCATGACAAACCCATCCATAGCATCCTCGGACACCTCGCTTCCCGATCCTCCCTTGGCACATCCCACCAGAGAGAGACCATCCCAGTTGCATGGCCGTAATCTTGTCGTCGGCCGCTTGGAATAGTCGCTTCTCCTCCTGGCGTCGTCGAGAGGCGGGTGGGCGCGCGCGCCTAGACTAGTGCCTGGGCAGGTGAGCGAAGGCATCGAATTCGTGGACCAGGCCCCCCTGGTGACCAAATCAGCGGATTCACGCAAGGACAGCGAGCTGATCCAGCCATCCGCCTTCCAATCCCGGCCCTGAATGGATCTGTGAAGGTCCAAAACTCGCAAGTTTGGAGGTCTTGTACTATACGTATAAGTTTGGGGCGCCATCTATAAAGTTAACCTAAGCTGTTCACCTAACTAAAAATATTTGGCAATCTCTTATAGCTTTATCAAGTTGACCTAACTATAAATATGGGGCCATGGTTTTAACTTGAGGTGGACACCATTGGATACCCTCACATGCACATGTCAGTACCAAAGCAAGGGCCGGACACCCCTGAAGAAATGGACATTCCCCAGAAGGTGTGGTAGTTAAGCTAAAGAAACCAAACGTTTGGCAAAACCATACGCTTCTCAAGTCACTGGCGGCACGTTGCAATTCGTATCTTAATCCAACAACAAAAGGAATCACCCACCATCTGCGCGGACGGCTGTGAAGGGGCCGGACGGCTGCAATCAGGGGTCCTCTGACTCTGGCTGCAAGCGATTGATCTTGCCTTCAGAGACTGGGCGGATGTGACAGCTGCTGCGCCACTGGCGCTGCTGCGACAGTCATCTTTGAGAATTGCATGTTTCAGTGGACTGGCAAACCCTAAGTAAGGTTGAAGGAAAAACATCATGCACCACATAAACTGAAAAGGATTCATTATGATTCATTGCTGCTTGTTTCTTTTCTGAGGCTTTCTATGCTTTCTAGGTGATGGGCCTGATTCTTACATCAACTGGGAGTATATACCTCCTCTACATGCGTTTCCTCCGTGACTGGCACGACCCGAGAAAAAACTCACTTCCGCTCCGGAAGACGTCTCTCCGCTCGTCCGCTGGGGTGGCCCGTTGATGGGACTGCCATAAAACAACCATGCCCAAGGGTATCCAAGGGTCAGGCTTTACCACTTCCATGCCCAAACGCTCGTTTTGGGACTGCCACATTTGCCGATCAGTTGGGGGGTCTTTCAGTGGTCAATGATGGTCAATGTACTGTATAGACTAACCACCACGCAAATAGACGGATATTTATATGATTTTTTATATGCATTCACACATTCACACATATACTTTATAGTTACAGTAATATATCACCGTATACAATACAGTACCTGGAGATACATGGAGTGTTATTTGGGATGTCTACCTTCGCCCATCCCAACTGCCCCGGCACTGCCCAACTGCCAAGTTGCAGCTCTTCCCCGTGGTCACGTCCCGCGCGACGAAGGTGAAGTTCGCCTGGAGAGTCAGCGAACGTGGCACCAACGGATGGACATCACATCGGGGGTTCTGTGGATCATAGGCAGTTGATGGGAGGTTTAAGTCACTGATCTACGCTCCCACACCAGCACCAATGGAATATCCATGAATATCCTGCATGCACTGCTTGTGGATCTCCATTGGGCATCCCTTGGAAGGTCCAGGTACCATCGATGTGTTCGAAGTCCGTGTTCGTGGGCGACTACCCCCGACCTCTGCATCTGTCTGTCGCGAAAAACCCGCCGAAGCCATGGAGGTCTCATGGGATGCCTAGTCCTTACGGCCTCCATCCTCCACCTGAGTTGAGCTGTAAAAAAAAGTTCGTATACGCGTTTTAATGACTTGATGGATCATGATGGATCTTAAGGCTTTCCAGCCTCTCCATGGCTGTCCACGTTACAACGAGTTCCTCCTTCCGGATGATGAATCACCAGTCCACCCATCTTGGAATATGTTCGGTGTATATATCAAGTCTCCAGCATGGGGGTCCTTCGGCACTAAGAGCCAGCGGGTTTCTTCATACTCTCGAGCATCTCCGGTCTCAGACTCCATGTAATTATGGCATGTTTTAGATATTATGGACCTTATTTAATGCATTCACCCCTGAAACCACACACCCCAATCTGTGTAAAAAGATATTCTTTATACACGGAGTGTCTGGTTGATCCACCCCTAGTGATTCCACACACCCACCTGCCTTCACACCTCGGAGCCCTCTCTGCGGACCTGCTGAACACACCCACCTCACCCCGAACACCGTGTTTTCCTCCCGGTCCTTCAGGACGTCCTTCGCATCCTCGGTGGTGAGCTGCATGTGAATCACCAAGGAGGAACTTCCGACCCAGGACACCTGCGCCGCACCACGCACCGACCGGACCACGGACCACCCACCCACCCGGGTGCGGGTGGAACGAGACGTCCACGGTGGGTGCGCAGGGTCCGGGAAACGACGTCGGTGTTCCAAGCGTCTTACGGCGCGTCTGACGACTGGTTTGGGTGGAGTGAACGGTTCCTAAGGAGTTCTTGTTGAGTGTGTTCTTGGGAAGCCTTTTGGAGTGTTCTTGGGAGATGCGAACTATATAAATTCTACAGGACGTCGCTTTTCCTTTTCCAAAAGCTTGATTGTTTCAGATTGTTTTCTTCCCCCTCCTGCGTCCAAATGGCAGATTCATTCTTCTTGAATGCTCCAACATCATCAGCGCATAAAATATACAGCTCACAACCCTCGAAAACCGTCATTACCCATCCCGGCCTGACCAGTCATGGTATAATTCCTGAGTTGAAGGTTGCAATCCTTGATGAGATTTAATCTGCTCATGTCTTTTTGATTCTAGTTCTTCACAGTTACCAGGTTGTCAGGATCTGTGAGCGACCCACGTTAGAACTCTTCTTTTCATACAGTCTGCGTTGAGGATCCAACCCACACATACATACGCATACACACACAAGATTTGGCCGCCGGCAACCCAAACCCACTCACCCACCCACCCACCAAAACAAGGGCACGCATCACTGACCAACCCCAGATCATCCACGCGACCAATCCAGAGTCACTTCTTCCATGGATGACCTAATTAAGTTCTTTTGCATGAAAGCAGTAACATGCATGTCACACAAATGCACAGCCTCTTCCAGACCCCAATGGGTCTTCAACCCCCTCAGTTTCTCCTCCTCACACAGATCTCCAACCCAGCTCAGTTCCGTTCCTCCTCCACACCCATCAAAAAGAACTCCGCCCACCCACACGCACCGGGTTCCTTTAACCACGTTTGGAGCACCGGGTGTTCCGGCTCCGTTCGGCTGCGGCCCGAGGCACTTGTCCAGGGAGATGGCGGTGCCCGGCTGCAGGCGAATCCGGTCCACCGACGCCGTCACCAACTGAGGCATCCTCGTCTGTCCGTCGGTGCAGTGAGGCGGGTGAGGGCGGCGTCCGTGGTCCGGGCAGGTGAGAGACCGGCGGGGACGAGGCGAGGGCGTGGTTTCCGAGACAGGCCGTTGTTGTGGGTTTGATGCAAAGTTGGAGGGGTTGGTTGAGGTAGAAGTCTGGTGTGGTGTCTGGCAACATGTCATGTCTGGAATCTGGACAGTTTGCTCCATGCGTTCTGGAGTCCCAAAGTAGTCTTCTTTCAATGAGCTTGGAGGTGGTCAGCCGCTGCCCATGTTTTGTGGCCCCTGAGGGTCTTTACCGAGCAAAGAGTTCCAATCACGAGGGCCATCGAGTTCAGCTGACACTGAACGTCGAGTTCTTGGACTCCCAGCGCCTACTAGAATTGTTCTCCTGCAGATTCCCTGCATTTCCACTGGATGAAGCATCAGCTTCTGGAGTTATTTTACACCCATGCTTTTTTGGTTGTTTCTTCTGATCCTTTCATCGTGGAAGCCGAGCGATAAGTCGATGGATATTTTTTCGGAGAAGGACACCCACTCAACCCACTGAACTCCTCTTCAATTGGAATCATGGAAGCGGACAATTTCATACAATTTCGCCTCCCTGGATGACAATTTCCCTAGACGAAACAGGGATAGGTATATAACCAAAAAGAAAGACACAAAACATCCAAACTGGTCCAAACTACAACATTCTCGGAGTTGCTCTCACAATGGTGCCAGAACATGCCAGAACAACCAGAATTACGTGACTCAGTGCTTCAGCCCCAAGACCAGTGCTTCTCACAGCGCTTGGCTCCTGGTTTCAGGATCGTCATCATCACAGTGCTTGAAGGCCACATTGCCTGCGACAAGCAACAGCGAAACGCGGCATCAACAGCCAAGCTATAGCGTAAACGATTCGGATGTCCAGTGAAGCGAAGGAAACCACAAGAACGGGCGCTACAGCTTACAAGCAATGCTCCGTAGTCGGTGAGATGTCTATAGTCGATAGGACTGTCTATAGGGTACAGTTAACACGTCTTCTCAGTTTTGTCTAGACTCTTAGAGTTGATCCTTCAGTTGAGCCCTGGTGCTAGCACTGAAGTCCTGGAGTAAAGCAGTCAAAACTGACCATCCAAGAGTTAGGATGTTAGGAGTACGAAACTTCATTCCCATCCCCCAAAGTCCTCTGATGAACACCTTAATGGCACTCCGGCTCACCCAAGCAGTCGGTCCATAACACCCTGCAAGTAGTAGTCGTCGGCCACATGGCATGTTGTTGCCTTTCTCCACAAGGACAACACTGGCAAACAAGACATGCACAACAGGTCTGAACACTTCACCAACCTTACAACCGGATACAACCGGAAGTTTTTCTGACGACTGACCCAATGTCGGTCTGGATGGTCTGGTGGGTGCAAGCCATGGGTTTTTTTCTTTCCTCTAACCCCTATCCTCCGGACCCCTCTGAGGTCCACCTGCGAGAGCATCCAGATCTTCGAAGAGCTTGCTAAACTGCATGAGACCGTTGAAGTTCTGGTACTGCCTCGGGCGAACCGTGGAGCCCACCGGGGTGCCGAACGCACACACAAAAACAAACACACCAAGAGAGACACCCATCCTGGAAAGGTTTTACCCGGAAGACTTTAGACTATAGACATAGATGTCAGATTCACATCTCTCAGAGACTCACCTGCCCAAATCTACAAAACAACATCAAGCAAGTGCGTGGCTAAAGGAAAAGCATGAAACACATTGAACAACTAATGAACAACTGCCACGTCCCGTGTCTTCCCAACTCTCCCTCTTGCGATGCGGTGCGTGGGCGGACTACTCTTGGTTTGGGTTCCTCCGTCTGCAGCGGAAACCATTTACAATCCCTAGGGCTCCAACCACCTCCTGAGAAAATGGTTGGGGTGGGTTTGGGGGGTCTAACCACCTTCTGAGGATATGGTTGGAGCCCTAGGGAATTGAAGTCCTCCTGCCACCAATTGCCCACGGCGATGAACCAATTCCAAGATGCTCTTTCAACAGCGGATCATCCTGTCAGCGAGGACAGGCACGTGTTGCCGGGGACAGTCACTCGGCTTGGGAGCTCCCACAAAGCGGCCAAAGAGACTAAGAGCTGCTTCGAAAGTTTCTCACCATTTTCCGGCGTTTTGGAGGTCTCAAATTGTTTGGGGTTCACGCACGACCCGTGCCACGTCCCATCACTACAATGCTACCTGCTACCTCCCCATGCCATGGTGTCGCATCATGGCTTAAATCGCTGGTGGAGCAAGTCAGCCCGTCCCCTCGACACCGTGGGTTGATTTGGCACCGCACAAAAACCCACGACACGCCTTGAAGTTGTACTGGACCTCTACTCCTCAGTGACAAGTGTCACATCACGTGGCCATGATGGCACGAATTCACTTGGCACGATTCATCATGATCTTTCATGCATAGAAGGATTGGGCCTGGCTTCACAGACTTCAACATCTCCTCTTGGCCATGGATGTTTGTAGTAAACGCTGACTGAATGGTGTAGGCTTAATCCGCTTAATCTGTATATATATATAGTGGTGATGGCCTAAGCCACTGAGAAAAAGGCCGGCCACTGTTGAAGCGGTCGCCAACGGACCGCCCTGCCGATCACCACGGTGCCCACGGACTGCCGACAAGTGCTTGAAGGCCCGTCCCTTCCAGGTGGTGGGGGGCACCTGGAAGGGAATCCAAAGCCGGCCACGAACAAGACAAAAATGTATGTGAATGTGACCCTCTCCTCTTTTTGGGTTGGAAATGGTTGGACAACGGCTCGCTGAAAAATACAGAACACTAAGTTCTTGCCGCCCCAAACCACTTCTTTTCGCCTCTGCTATTGGCCCAAACCTCCTTTCAACGTCCCGCAACCTTGGCGAGACATGGCCGCACCACTGCGCCAAAGGGGCTTGAGCAGTGGGGCGTCTTCGTCAAGATCTTCTCCTGCGGCTTGGCGCCGGCAGTGACCCGCGCAGAGTTGGCGCGCTCCTGGCGATGTCTGTCTCTTGTTCCGCGGTGGTGCTGTGCAGGGGGAGATGAGAACAACTGTCTCAGAAGGTGGGGGAGATTGGAAGTTTCAGAATTTTGGGGGGAGTGACTGGCCTGAAGGATCTTGAGATGCACTCAGACCGTTGCAAGTATCGCTGCTAAGTTACTGGATCTGAGAGGTCTGATGAAACAAATCATACCCGTGACTTCTTGGTAGCATTGTGCAGTCTATGCTGAAACTCGGCTGGTGTAACTTCAGGTTTTGAACAAGTCATCTTAAAGTACATAGTCTTGTTCATTTCATGTCGTGGGTCCTACGGTCCGTTTCTTCTTCTGTACTTGACTTACTCGGAGGTTGGCGAACCATTCTTTGGCCGCACCATGTCAGGCCAGTTTTTCGCACATGGCATTTTGAAGCGGCGGTTCAGGGCTCAGGTGTTCAGAACACTCCTTAGCAGCCAGGCGCTCTTTACCAGGAGCCTTCCTTAAAAGACATTTCGTTCATGCAAAAGCCTGAGCCTTCAAGAAGTCTCCGGGAAATTCCGTCAGGCAGGGTCCCCGGTGGCCTTCCATAGGAGCTGCACAATGGGACTCTTGTGTAAGGCAGCCATGTCTTCTCCAGAGAAGCACCGGAGCGCGTGCATTTGCGGCCTCTAAAAACCAAAGCGAAGGCAGGGTTGGACACGAAAACCAAAACTTGGATGTGAAAAGAAACCGCAAACATATTCCCTCAGCTAAAAACTTGAGATTTTCAACCAGCACCCTCCAACAGGTCACCACTTGCCACGTTTCAGTCTGCAAAAGTCACCATTTCGGAGACCTGATGGAAGGTGCTGGTATGTGGATTTTCCATACCAGGACCCTCCAAGGCGTGTCTATTTATAGCTGTTAAGAGGTGTCCATCAACCACCCCTTGCGGGTCCTGGTATAGAAACGGTTTTGGGGATTCCCTCACTTTCGGGATTCCCTCGACATCCACCCGATCCGATGTAAAAAAACAGGAATCGGTTCGGCGGGCCAGCGGTGAAGGGTAAAACCTATCAGTTTGGCGGGCGGGGCGGGGTCTACGAACCAGCTTTGACGTGGAAGTTTGGCAGTTACTTCTCTTGAAACTTGGTCCATTTTCATGAGGAATCCCACCACTTTCAAACGTCCAGGTCGACCGGAGGCTCATGGCAACCATTCCTATTGTGTCGAAACATGGGCCGATTCCGCTTCATTCTGAACGAAGTAGTTTGATCCATCTTTACCTTGATAGGGAGTGCACCTGTGAGATGGCAAGCTCTGACCCCTCTCTAGGATCACCTCGGCCCCTGTGCCCAATTACATAAGAGCCTCCGGTACACCCTGCTCCCAACATGTCAGAATCCCCACACCTTTGTCACACATAGAAGTGGTGTCACCAACCCCCACACCTAACATAATGGTGTCACACTTCCTCGGCACCTCCTCGCCCTGCACGAAATCAAACATGCAAAAGCCGTGTGTCAACGCTGTTCTCCTCGCTTCAAGCAGCTTCCGCCTCAAGGCTCTCGAGGCGGCGGAAAGCCGCCATGGACGGCCCAGCAGCGCCCGCATCGCGCGCTGCTGATGCAAAGGCCACGATGCAACGTGTTTTGGGGGCGAAGACGCCGCAACCAGAGGGGGTGGACGCCGAGTGCTGCACGGCGCCACTGGAAGATGGGCTGCGGCTGAAGTGGCGGAGGCTGCTGAGGCATTCTTTTTGCAAAAAAAACATTGTTCTTTTGGAGAGTAGTCGGTTTTGTTCAAAACAATTTCAAAACTGGCAGGCGTTTGCACCCTCAAAAGTACAAATAAAACATGTTGTAGGTTCATGCACTGTCAGCTGACACTTCAGAAATTCAAACGCCACTAGGTCCTTCACATCTATCATCCCGACCCCAAATCCAATTCCTCACCCGCTCGGAAAGGCCCAAAGCTGGAAAACATGTACCAAGTCGGACTCTCGGACCATTGTGGCTTCATGTTGCATGGAACTGATTGGGGCAACGGCTCCAGTCAGTGCGAATTCGTCCGTGCTCTTAAAGGACCTGACGATCAAAGATGTCATCCGTATTGGAAGAACTTCAAGCCATCTCCTAAAACACCCTGGCACCGCGGGAGGTTGGGCCTTACGCTGGGCTGGATCTGCTAGGAAGACCGGGAGCCCGATATTCCTCGCCTGGCGGATGTGTCGTCGCGGGTGGATCATCTCGGGTCGCAGCTGACCAATGATTCTCCAGACATCGTCTGAGAGGGGGAAAAACAACTTCCCTTCCCATTCCCTTCTCCCAGCAGGCTGGCTACTGCAAGGCAATCATGTATGCAATGAACTATGTGCTTAGGGGGGAGTGGTGCATGCGAGGCATTGATACTTCTCAACTTCTTACCGTTCTTGCCACCAGAAGGGATGCAAGAACGAATGAAAGAAATACAAGACAAACAGATCACTTTTGGGCGCTTGTGTGTGACACATCGATGGATTAGTCGCCTGCTGGCTTCCTTCCCATGATGTACCCGTCGAGCCTCCGAATAACTGGGACACATCGAGCCGTCTCCACCGATACCCGGAGCCGTCGCTGAATCCGGCTCGCACCAGCTAGAGAATTGGTCAAAACAAACAGGTTCACCACACTTCACCTCACAAAATGGCAAACACACTTGCACCTCACCTTGCTATATATACATGCACCTTATGTAATGTATTGTAATTATATTGTAGATGTCCTCTTCCCCATTTCCTTCCACCGGCTCGCAGCTCGCATCCTTTTCGCCATCACACTCCGTGTCGACGCGTCAACGCGTCCGCGCCTTTTGGACGCGCGAAACGGCCGGCGCCGGGCGCAACGGCGAAACGGGGAGCGAAACGGCCGAAACAGCTGGGCGAAGCTGGTGACGGGGCACGGACTGAGACACTGTATACATGGGTGTTTTCTACATGGCATGGATGGAAGTACTATAGGGAATTGCCCTGGGAGGGTGCTAGAACATTGTGTAGAAGCAGGACACCTGTCATGTTTTTTTGGTCCTGTCCCCGGCAGGTACACCGTACACCGACCCTTGCAGCAACAAGACTCATAGCAAATTCCTGGCGATGGATCTGCACCGAGTGTTGATCCGGTGTATTGTTTGGGCCAAAACCAGCTTCTTCCAGCTTCCTCTCCATTGGAGAAGCTGCGAAGGAACCCAGCACTGGCTGTACAAAACGACGGGTCGGGGCTGGCACCGGACATCGCGATGGATCAGAACCGAACTCGGTCGGATCATTCGGAATGGTTAACCTCTTCCATGACTTCCATGTCGAGGGACGATATAGATTCTTAGATCGTTTTATATAGATCCTTTTGGGCACCCCTATGCTGAACTTCCAATGACTCGTATTGGACAATACCGGGGGGGGCAGTCGTAACTCACCACTTTATACTACCCTCTCGTTGCGCACGATCCTATGAAACGCGCAAACGGCATATGCGTCCCGCTGGGCGCTATATGCAGGAAAGGCCCCCTGAAGATGCAAAAGACGGGAAAAGGAGCTTCCACGTAAGGACAAGAATGAGTCATGACTGGACTCAGGGACGGTCACATGAGACTTGAGCTTCTAGAGGTGGGTAAGGTGGGTATAAAATATATGAACATATACTTTGGGGGTGTATCCCATTACCGGGGCCCAGTGGAGGATGATGATGATGATGATGATGATGATGATGATGATGATGATGAGGTTGCGGCCCGGCATTTCAAAAAGAATGATAATTGTTTACCGACTGCTACAGGTTTACTGGAACACCCAGAACATATGCGTATATGGCGTGCGCACTATATACGGCATAACTGTCCAAATCATTATGCTTCTCCCTCATCACCTCAGGAAGGAGTCAATCAACGTGTCGACGGCCAGAGTCAGTGCGCCACATCGCCACTGCTCAGCTTGTTATCCTTGTCACCTGCACTCCGTTCTAAACCTGTTCGCATCTGTTCGCATAAAAATTTAGCCAGGTGCCAGACCCAGCACAAGAGAAACAACCTGAACCACTAGCTGATCCCCTGAGTTGCGCCGCGTATGCCCCAGCGGGAAGGCAGGCGCACCTGCAGAAGAGGTGGGCGGGCGGGCGGGCGGGCGGGTGGGTGGATGAGGGTTGACTGAACTTCATTGCTTCCCACCTTCTTCTTTGTAAACCAGCAATTTGAGACTCAGACCCTCAGGAACATACACACCAGGCTCTAGACTCTATAGATAACACTGTGGCCACGTGCAAGTTCCACGGTTCCACAATATTCCGACACCCTCCCGAGACAGTAATCAACAATCCATCACCACCTTTGTCTCGTAGCGCTTTTCATCGCTTGTGGCGCGCCTCATTAGCTCAAGCCAAAGGCAAAAGGTCTTGGACGGCAGGGCAGCTGCAGCTCCTCCAGTCGCAAGCGAGGTGTGGGCTGTAGGATTGCCAGGAAAGGAACTTGGGTTGCCCGGATGTATTGGAACTAGGATTGGAGAACGCAAGACGTATTCAAAAGATTTCAAAAGGAACCTTCCAGAAAGCTATCTCTCTGGAGGCCTGGAGCAGGTGAGCATTGGAAGGGATGATCAGCCATGATTTGAAGCTCTTGGCAGCTTACTCATATCACGCGTATCAAAAAATCACTTCACATTGGAATTTGATTATATTATGAATGTATTACAAATGCATGTATGTGTTCAAGTCCTGGAATTTGAACCTCCTTTAGAGGCGTTATATATAATACATTTCAGGATCCACAGAAGCAACCTTGGTGAGGCTCATAGTTTGTCAGGCCAAACCTGGCTGCACCAGTTTCCAAAGCTCACATGCACCTCAAGATATGCCGCAAAAGAAAACTCCCCAAAATCCAATCCAAAATGCAGTGTTGAGTGTTGAGTGAGGAAGGTATAGATTGACCTTCCACAAGATCGCATAACATATGCACTCCCAACCTCTCCTTTGCAGCATGAATAGCACGATGGACTCACCATTGATACAAATTTCGCTTAGCTGTAGTCCATAAGTATGAACTATTGATCTATATACTATATAGTATAATAGATACATGCTAAGTATGGACTCACTATTGATCCGAATCTTCGGATACTTAGCATCAACTTTTCCAAATGTTCTTCGGCTCGATGAAGGTCCTTGAACGATCCACCAAACAACTATACCCACCCCTAGTGCTCCTGGCCGCCCCTTCCGTTTCAAAGATGGGACAGGGGTGGGTGCCAGGAGGGTCTAACCACCTGAGGATATGCTTGGAGCCCAAGGGCACATCATGTCTGCTTTCCGAAAGCCCCTTCTCTCACCGAATCCACACCGAGCACAGACCGCGAACCGCACGAACCGCGCGAACGAGCGATGGAACGGCGCAAAGCGAACGAAGGGCGCGGTTCGAACAAGCCCAGTCGGTCGAACGGTCCTTCAAATGCTCGGGGAACTGTGAAATCAAGAAACCTCAGTTGAACATGACACGAAACCTCCATTGGCGCTGCTGGTGTTACAGTCCGGCCGCAGCTTCGGTCTGAACACTGAAGAGTGGCCGTCCCTTGAAAAGAACGATTCAGTCGTTCCCATAGAGGGCGGAGCCTGGGCGGATATGGAAGGATGCCCTTTTTTCACGTCCCCCTGAACGACTAAAACTTCACCTCAGGCAAAAGAAGAACATGTTCAGAAAGAGGCTGGCGGCTGGAGATTGAAAGGAGGGGGTCCAATATTCGAACAATCATATATAAAATGAAACCCATGAATTTCCAGAGAAATCTATGTCGGGAATGACAGCAATTTGGCAATCGGTTGTCCAGACGCGGTGGGTCCATTGACTACGGAAGAATGTGACCCTCCTGCAGATTAGGATGGCCCCCCACAAGTACTGGGTTGTAGAGCGCTCTTCCACGGGTGTTCCTTCTCAGGGTCCATTGGGATCGTCTGCGGGAGCTCCCAAAGATCTCCTCCATTGAGCTACTGTAACTAATGCATGGATGGGTCACCAGACGACAGGTGCACCCTGCCTCACTGGAGGAGTGCACCCTCCACTCGAACCTTCGGAGAACCATACGGCATCCGGAGCCCCACTGCCGCCACTGCCTCACTGCCGTCCCATGGCATCATCATACTGGAGTCCCCTCATCACTGCCATCCCTACGCCTCATTCCCATCACACACTGTGTCTTCTTGGCATCCATCCCACTCACGCTTCCTCTCAAGTCCAGTCTGGTGATGTCGAGGCACGATGGAGGCCTGTGGCAAGGCACAAAAACGCTGGGCATGTGAGTTGCTTGGATTGGAGAATGCTAAGACGGAAAGAACTGCCTGACAAGCGGGTTCAAAAACAGGACTGCTCACGTTCTTGTGCAAAAAAATAGACTGTCGTCTAATTTGCGCTTCATGCACACATCAGAAACTCTGCAAGACACTAGCCACTATAACTTCAGAAGGATGCGCAAAAACTGATACCTACTTCAAACTCGTCACAACCTATACATAGTGAAAATAACGTGAAAGAACTCTTGCATACAAACTATGACTGCCAATCAGTTGTAGTGTTACAGATATTATAAGTATACGGCTATGCGTTGTTCCAGCTGCATAGGTGTCTCCAAAACCCCGTCAGACGGTCTGCTCGCCTGCAGCCGCCAAGGCTTGAGCCGTTTGCAGCAAATCCTCGGGGTCTTCGTCCCAATCCACCAGCGACCTGCGCGGTTCGGCAGGTTCGCCGGCTGGGGAGTGAGAAGGCGAGACACATCCCGGCTCGTGGATTGGTCTGATTGCAGGTCTAACTCAGATAGTCTATGTTACTCAGAAACTTCGACTTGGGATCATTAAGAAATACCATAGAGCCTGGTGGATGACTTGCTGTGTGTGGTCTTGGTTGCGCTAGGTTGCGGTGTTGGAGTATCTGTCTTGGTCGGGAGGGTCTTCAGATCATTCATATAAGTCTCAGCCAGTGTCGGGAAGCGTTCAACTGCGGTCACGATTTCCCTCTTAAGTGTTCATCAATAGATCTGCTCATCACCATCTGTTGTAGCAAAAGAGCTGCAACAACCGATGGTAAACTGTTGGTATAGTGGATGGCATCACTCGGGT